ATTGGTACTGAACGCAATCCTCATATACTGATCTGATGATATCACTGTTCTAGATGTATCATTGTGAAGGTCACAATAACGAGCAGAATTATCACCACCTCTGATTTCTAAGGTATCTGTATATGGGTGTTCGCTGTATATCGACTCACAATAAAATACAAGCTTGTTGCTGATCTTCAAGTCAGTCACTTCAGCTTTGATTCTCTTGGAGCTTGACGAAGCCGTGATATGCCAACGGCAGTACAAATTGCTTGGGTATTTTTCTGGGTACAGAGGGCTTCTGATATATTGGTAATTACTAGAAGCATTCAATTTCAAAATTACAGGAGAAGAAATAGTGTATACGTAACTTGACATTATTGAAGAACGCCTTCCAATACACATGGAATAGTAACTGGCTGAAATAAGAAATGATTTAAAAGGTTAGCTGAACAAAGTGATGACGCGCATTCGTTCAAAACCTAAARGTCTTCCATTGCCTATTTGCATTTTCAGTTGTTCAACTGAAATACCATGCAAATATATATTTTTATCAATGTTCATATTGGAAATATTATTTAGTGCTTTTACTTATGGAATTTTATATCTTTAAAGTTCAGTCCCTTCTTGGATTTTGTAAGATTCTGTAAAACGTGCTATGGGTAGTACCTCAGGGAACACATTTGTTACAGAGAATGACAATTTCACTTTCACTCTGCAGCTGTAAAACCTTCATTTATCATTAAACCAATAGAAAAAGGCTCTCATTGCTTGTCTTTTGTTTTCTTTAATTTTGAAGCTTAATCCTTACTTACCAGGGGAGGAAAGGGCAAAGTACTCCAATCTGAAGCCTTGCTTTGTAGGATGATTATTTTTAAGTCTACTTGAAAAGACTAAAGTCAAGTATCTCTTGGAAGAAATCACATTGGCAGGTACAATGCTGCCACAGTACCTTCCAAGCTGGAAGTTTCTCACATACATTCCTGGATAGCTTTGATTGAGATCAGTTACTTCTAAAGTATGTGCTTTGTCTCTGCATTTTCCAAAGTACTTATAATCAGAGCCCCCCAGGTCAAAGTTAGTGAAGTTCAGTTTTACAAAATGCCCTGGAGGTGCTGTGATAAGCCAAGAACATTTTGCCTGAGGAGGGTAGTTAGCAGGATAGTTGGGACTTGTTAAAATCTTTGGTTTGTCTAGTTCAGCATCAAGAAGAAATGAGCCACAATCTTTAAAAAAATGATAACATAAATATTATTCCAAAAAAAACATATAAATGTGTCTATTGCTTCAAGGTTCACCAAAGGAAATATTGGGGTGTTGAACATTATCATTAATTTATTTAATATAGAGTTCGTTAAAGCAACCATATCCAGCTCATTCCCATTCTATATGTCTCTTTCTCCTATTCTAATCTTTCAGGTTAAATATACTCTCATGCATTATTTAATCCAACTTAAAAGTTTGAAAATRAATGAAAAGTTGAGAACACTCACATGAATCTTGAACTGCCATGTATTCCAGTTTAAAGCCTTGCTTTGTTTYATTACTTGGACTGGTAAATATCAGTGTTAGATATTGACTATACAAATTGCGAGTACTATAAATGGTCAAATTTCCTGGTACATTGCTACCACAATATCTTCCAACAAGATTACCCTGATCAAAGACTTCTAGATTATCAGTTTCACTTGTACAAGCTCCACTGGTTCCAGTAGTATCAAAGCTAACAATCTTTAACTTCACAATCAGGGAGTTATAACGAGAATAAATAGTCCAGGAACACTTTAAGGATGAATTATAGTTGCCAGGGTAATTAGGACTTGTAAGAATATTGGATGTTCCTGCATCAGCATAAAG